CAGAAGGTGAGACAAGTGGCGGAGCTGGGCACCAGGTGGCCCCCTGCTGGTCATAGACTAGACTCTGAAACAAGTGTGTGTGTGTTGTGTGTGTGTGTGTGTGTGGTGTGTGTGTGGTGTGGTGTGTGTGTGTGTGTGTGTGTTGTGTTTGTGTGTGTGTAGGCTGAGCTCACTGACTGTATCTCGATGCTGGTGGGGAACAACGAGAGGATTCAGGCCTTCATCAGTCAGCTGGAGGAAACGTGCCGAGCTGTGGATGTGAGTTCATCCTCTGTGTTGATGCTGCTCTGTCTTTCACCTGTCTCACCTGTCTCACCTGTCTCACCTGTCTCACCTGAGCGATGTGTTTGTGTGCTTTCAGGAGAACGGCCGCAGACAGAAGTCGAAGGTGTGCGAGTCGTTCGATCACTTGTTCGCCCTGCTGGAGGAGAGGAAGGGAGAGATGACTCTGAGGATCAACTGTGAGCAGGAGGAGAAACTGGACTACATCCGCAGCCTGAGGAGGAGGTACAGCGAGCACCTGGAGAACACCGCCAAGGTGGTGGAGACCGCCATCCAGACGCTGGACGAGTCTGAGATGGCTGTGTTCCTGCAGGTGACCCTGAACGCACCACGTCTTCTTCTTCTTCTCTCATTTCTTCCCTTTTGTCTCTTTCTTTTGCACAAACAGAGGTCAAAGGTCAGGACAGTTACTTGCTCGCCACTTTGTCCAGCGTTGCTCGCCTGTTTTTTGTGGGACATTGTGAGACAACCAAAGTTCACTCTTGTTATGAATTTGCGCTTTACAAATAAAGATTGACTGATGGAAACGTCTTTAATTAGTTTAGTGCGTTGTGGACAGTGTGCAGGAGATTTCTCAAAGATAAAGAATGAAATGATCAAACATTTGGTGTGTAAGACTTTGATCTGTGTTGCCGTGGTAACAGGTTACAAACAGCTATGAGTGTGGTTTGATTTTTACTAGAATCAAATCAAAGATCAGAGAATAAAACCCGTTCTCTTGTCCTCCACAGACGACCAAACCGCTGCTGCAGAAGTGAGTATCTGTGATGTCATCAGTGTCTGCAGGTGAATCCTCAGGTGTTGTTAAACTGCACCTGTAACTGTTTTGTGGTCAGGATCTTGGAGGGCACCGACACGTCTCACCTGGATCAGGTCCAACACGGCTACGAGAAGATGGATCACTTCACGGCCAACTTTCAGCGTCAGAGGAGAGCGCTGAGCAGAGTGGACTTCATCAAACGTAAGAAAGACAGGAAGTCCAATCATCCAATCAGAGAAGAGACACCTGATCTCACAGAGAAGTGCTAGCTTAGATGCTACCGGCAGTCAGTGCCAGCTAGCTGGATTAAAAAAAAAATTGGGCCAAAGTTTAAAGATACCAAAGATCCCATTTCTCTCAGCTTTTTAGAGCCAGAGGTTAGCAGTCAGACATTTTAGCACTGAATTAGCATAGCATTAGACATAATGTATCCTGATGTTCCAACTGTTATTGGTCTTCATTGTATGCTAAATGATTAGCTTTGTTAGGTCTCGTCATGCTAATGTGTGGACATTTATGCTAGTGTTAAAGGATGCTAACAAAGAGATGTAGACACTCGGGCTGAATCTCGATGTCCTCCCTAAACCGCCTCAAGCCCTAAACCCCTGTGCCCTAATCCCCCTCGAGCCCTAAACCAAGAGCCTAATCCCTCTGAGCCCTAAACCAAGAGCCCTAATCCCCCTCGAGCCCTAAACCAAGAGCCCTAATCCCTCTGAGCCCTAAACCCCCTCGAGCCCTAAACCCCTCGAGCCCTAATCCCTCGAGCCCTAAACCCAGAGCCCTAAACCCCCTCGAGCCCTAAACCCAGAGCCCTAAACCCCCTCGAGCCCTAATCCCCCGAGCCCTAAACTCAGAACCCTAAACCCCCTCGAGCCCTAAACCAAGTGCCCTAAACCCCTCGAGCCCTAAACCCCCTCGAGCCCTAAACCCCCTTGAGCCCTAAACCAAGAGCCCTAAACCCAGAGCCCTAAACCCCCTTGAGCCCTAAACCAAGAGCCCCAATCCCTCCGAGTCCTAAACCCTCGAGCCCTAAACCCCCTTGAGCCCTAAACCCCTTGAGCCCTAAACCAAGAGCCCCAATCCCTCCGAGCCCTAAACCCTCGAGCCCTAAACCCCCTCGAGCCCTAAACCCAGAGCCCTAAACCCCCTCGAGCCCTAAACCCCTTGAGCCCTAAACAAGAGCCCCAATCCCCCGAGCCTAAACCTCGACCTAAACCCCCTCGAGCCCTAAACCCAGAGCCCTAAACCCCCTCAAGCCCTAAACCCCCTTGAGCCCTAAACCAAGAGCCCCAATCCCTCCGAGCCCTAATCCCTCCGAGCCCTAAACCCTCGAGCCCTAAACCCCCTTGAGCCCTAAACCCCCTTGAGCCCTAAACCAAGAGCCCCAATCCCTCCGAGCCCTAAACCCTCGAGCCCTAAACCCTTGAGTCCTAAACCCTCACAGACCTCACTGAGGGAAAGTGATTATGTGTACGAGGCTGCGAGGGCTCCAAATGGTTTAATACCATCGGGACAGCACTTCTCTGTAACCATGGCAACACGATGTCATTTAAGTAGTTTTCTTTTACGTTTTTGTCTTTACTCACTCACAGCCCTGGAACTTGTAAAAAGTTCTTACTTTAAATATATGTTACTATCGAGCGTGGTCGTTTTATGGTCTTTGTTCTCTTTCCATTCTTGTGGGCTTTCACGACAAAATGCTATGAACTATGGGTAATTCTGAGCGACAGAGCAGGAACGTTCATCAAAGTCAGCGAGGGTCGACATCGAGATTGGGCCGAGGAGCTACTTTCAGTTAGTGTTAGCATAGTGCTAATGTGTTAGCATAAAGCTAACGTCACATGATCACTGTGCTGTCTCTCAGTGGATGAAGAGGATGATGACGATGATGATGAAGCTGTGGAGGTCAAGAGTTTGACAGCAGCCAGTCGAGTAGAGCTGCCGCCGCCGCAGGCCACAGGACCGTCAGCCAATCAGCAGCCTCCTCTAGCTCCTGTTCAGTCGACAGGAAATCAGCTCCTAACCCCGCCCCCTCAGAGACCATCAGAAGCCCCACCCACCACCAGCAACACCTTGCAGACAAAGAGTCCCGCCCCCTCATCTAGTGCTCTGCCTCTGCCCCTCCCTACCGCTGGCCCGGCCCCTCAGGTATGACATCACATGTTACATACTGTGTGTAAGAGGCTGAGGTCCGCTTCCGGACCAATGGCGCTCATGCATGTAGTGAGGGGCGTGGCTTTTGAGGGAACACAGAGGAGGGGGGGGGGGGGTGCAGACGGAGCACTGAGGGAATGCTATTTTCAAAATCAAGCTAGTTTTCCAAAATGACCAACCCTGCCTTGAACAAGTGAAAATAATAATAAATGTGTTTTTGTGCTGCAGGGTCAGCCGGATCATCAGAGCGAGGATGACGACAGAGACGGACCCAAACACGTCTTCTCCTTCAGCTGGCTCAACCAGAAGTGACACGCCTCCATCCCCGTCCACTCCATATTACTTACTTTACTATTCACGAGCCACAACAGTCTGTGTTTTAGATATTTCATGATAGATCATGTGACAGATCGAAGAGGAGGATGATTAGCCAGTCTGGAAGGACGGACTGAAGGGGGGCAGAGGGAGACTCAGGTGGGGGGTCAGTCTCTTACTTGTGCCCGAGCTGATCAAGGCCCAGACTGTTCCTAGAATAAGACAAACAAGATGAAGGAGGGAGAAAGAGGGAGGATGGATGAGAGAAGATAGATGAGAGGAAGGAGGAGGATGGATGAGAGGAAGGAGGAGGGAGGATAGATGAGGAAGGAGGAGATAGATGAGAGGAAGGAGGGAGGATAGATGAGAGAAGGAGGGAGGAGATAGATGAGAGGAAGGAGGAGAATAGATGAGAGGAAGAGGGAGGATAGATGAGGAAGGAGGGAGGAGGATAGATGAGAGGAAGGAGGAGATAGATGAGAGGAAGGAGGGAGGAGATAGATGAGAGGAAGGAGGAGGATAGATGAGAGGAAGGAGGAGGATAGATGAGAGGAAGGAGGGAGGATAGATGAGAGGAAGGAGGGAGGATGGATGAGAGGAAGGAGGAGGAGGATAGATGAGAGGAAGGAGGGAGGATAGATGAGAGGAAGGAGGGAGGAGGATAGATGAGAGAAGGAGGAGATAGATGAGAGAAGGAGGGAGGATAGATGAGAGGAAGGAGGGAGGAGGATAGATGAGAGGAAGTGGTCCTGGTTAGGGCTGACCTTTCTCAGCATGTCGTGTTTTTCAGAGACCACTTGAGATTTTTAAAAGTGGTCGGTTTGTTTCTTCAGTTTGAATAAAAAAGAGATGAATAAATGATGTTTTGTGAATAAATGTTTTGTGAATAAATGTTTTGTGAATAAATGATGTTTTGTGAATAAATGTTTTGTGAATAAATGTTTTGTGAATAAATGATGTTTTGTGAATAAATGTTTTGTGAATAAATGTTTTGTGAATAAATGTTTTGTGAATAAATGATGTTTTGTGAATAAATGTTTTGTGAATAAATGATGTTTTGTGAATAAATGTTTTGTGAATAAATGATGTTTTGTTATGAAAAGAGAAGTTTCCTTTTTCTCGCTCACCTGCAGACTGAATAAATGAACCGTCTACAGAATAATAAAGAGGAGAAGAAGAAAAGAAACATCAGATCCACGACTTGTTGGTGAAATCGTTTTTATTTCAGTAATTGAAAAATCATCTGAGCTGGATGTGAAAACAACAAGGTGTGTGTGACTTCCTGTTTGAGGCTCAGAGCTTAAAGCTGATTGGTTCCTGTGTGTTTGTAAATCTTCGATATGTCGGTGTTTGATTCAGAGAGCCAGACGTCCTGTGTGTGTGTTCGGGTGGGGGTCTAACACAGACTGACTCAAAGGCTCTCACAGGGTCAAACTTTAAAACAATCAAGAAGTCCATTGTTTGAGTGTTTTTTATTTCTTCCGATCGTCCATCATTCTGCGGTTGCTGTCCGCCTGAACGGCGAGCTGCTCCGCCGCGCCTCCAGCACCTCCCTCAGGAGGTGAAAGGTCAGGTCCAGAGAGATCGGGGCTCCTCGGACCTCTTCCCCTTCTCAGCGCTCTCCTCCTGCTCGCCGAGCTGCAGGAGGCGTGTGTGAGCTGCAGCAAGAGCCCGGTTCACTGCAGAGGAGGAGGAGGAGGAGGAGGGAGGAAAGGAAGGTCCAGACCAGAGGAGGATCCTCCACTCCCCAGCTGGAGGGAGAACTCCTCACCCAGGTGGAGGAGCAGCGGTCGGGAGAGGGTGGGGGCTGA